TTGCAGATTTAACATTGAGCACATTAACCTGCTGGAAGCAGTCTGTAGAAAATGGTCAGCTGTGGTCCCCAACAATATTAGGCTTTGGTGTTTAAATGATGGGACCCAAAGTAGGCTGAGAAAACATCAGTAGACCCTACCAGCCTGAATAATGGATCCATCCTGCCTTAGATGGAAAATTAGTGATGGATGGATGGCTTCAGAACAACAATCAGATGATGAGCAGCGAGCAAGACTTGGGAAGGAAGAATTCATTATTTTACTGGAATGGTGGGGGGAGAGAAGAAAAGACGACATAAAGAGACGAGGACAATGAGAGAAAAAACAAAAGATTTAGTACTTACAGCAGGAACAGGGAGCGGAAAGTGGTGACAAAAGAATAAAAGTTCACATCACATGAAATTCTCCAGCAGCCTAAATCTAGTATGTGAGGAGAGGAGTTTCAAATTTAATTCTGCATTTTAAAGGAGCCAATAAAGTGAAGATGATACAGGAGAAGTATGATGGTTCTTTCTAGTCCCTGATAGTACCCTTGCTGCAGTATTTTGGATTAACTGTAAAGTATCTGTAAGTATCCGGTTAGACACCACAGTCTGCACACTATGATGAAAATTATTGGTCAACAAAATGAATACTGGACAACACAGAACAAATTTGAGACCAATGCTGTTAATAAAGGCATTTTATGTAGTTTTTGTTTTCAGGTCCTCACTGTTCTTTGATCCATGACTCAACACGCAAAAGTTTTTATGATTAGTGTTTAAGGACTGTAGGTTTTGTGGGTTTGATCCTGTGAATAAGCTACAAACAAACGGCCCTGCTCTGGGATTAATAAAGTCTTAAACTAATTTTACAGAAAGCATGAATGCGTGCAGCGTGCCTCCTAAAATCCCCCATGCAGTCATCGTTCATCAGGACTACCAGGAAGTGTTTGCTGCAGGTTCAGAAGTGCAGTATGAGTGTGAGGATGGATACACTGCAGAGGGAGCACACAACAAAAAATCTGTTTGTACACAAGGAAGCTGGACACAAGGCCCGACCTGCAGTAAGTGGAC